TCCCCATCCATGATTCATTTTCTGAAAAGGCCATTTATTTCTGTCTAGAATGATGTAGCAATGAGCGTTCTTGCTCATTTTGCCTGCGAGATATGAGCAAAAACGGGACGAAAAACATGAAATTTTGGCATAATCTTGAACCTAAGTGTCTGATATTCAAATTTCGCTTTCTGGGCCAAAACTATTCGAATTTCCTTACTCACACTGTTACGACTGAATCGACTTTTCAATTCTCTATCAAACGATGCCAAAACGAATTCTGTGGCTAGAATGGTTCTTGAGAAACTTCGAAAAAAGCAGCGTTATGTTCAAGTGGATTTTGCAACTCAAAAAAAAACCACGCAAATGTAAAACTTCTTGAATCCAAGCCTTTTTTGAGAAAACTGCCAACATTTCCCCATCCATGGTTCACTTTCTAAAAAGGCCATTTATTTCTGTCTAGAATGATGTACCAATGAGCGTTCTTGCTCACTTTGCCTTCGAGAAATGAGCAAAAATAGGACGGAAAACATGGAATTTAGGCATAATCTTGCACCTAAGTGTCTGATATTCTCTCTGTCTATATTTCTCCGGAACTCTATTCTGATGGCGAAAAAATTAACTGAATTGGATTGCAAAAACTGATTTTACCGGAATACGTTTTGCGGCGAAAATGCAAGAAGTCTGGATGGAAATAGAAAAAAGCATCAATACATATACATCAACTTAGAAGTATTTACTTGGAAACTAATGAAATCTAGTCTAAATCAACATCAGCTCATAACATGTCCCGAAAACATTTTTTACATGGAAAATCCGAGTGATTTTTAGCGGAAAAGGTGCGGCATTGGACAACCACAAGTGGATTGAGTCAATCACTTAATCTAATCATAATCAAGTGGTTTGCGCTATATTTAAACCCCGATTTCGGACCGTTCTAGATCATTCAGTATAAAGTTCATCGTAAACGAGTGAAAGCTGAAAAATGTCTGTACTTGTTGGTCCAGTCGACGCTCAGGAAAAGTGGGCGGAATGGAAGGTAATACCGGCATTGATTGGCGCGCATGAGTTTTTCTAATGTTAATTCCTTCAGTCAACTCACTCAAAGGCCTACGAATCCGAGGAGGAGGAGCAGAAGCGGTTCGGGATCTTTGAGAGCAACTTGCAGGAAATAGTGGCACATAATGAAAAATTTCAAGCGGGCGACGAAACCTTCAGCAAGGCCCTCAACCGATTCGCTGACCTCACGTCTGATGAGGTGCCCAAAGGAGGCCTCATGTCCCGAAAACATTAATTTCTAACAGGATTTTTAAATGTGTTTGTTGTTTTATATGTTGAATAAATTTGATTTAAAAAAGCCCGGTTTCTATTAGACCCGTAATCAGCTAAGTAAAGACCAGAATTTTCGCCAAGAAGTTAACGATAAAATGTGGAGAACTATATATTGAAAGCAAAAAACTCAACTATAAAAGCGTTCTTCAAATAGTTTAGAGAGTCACGTCTGCGGCATTCAACGGGAGATAAGTTGCCTCAATAGAAGCCAAACAATATATTTTGATAAAAAAAACCATCACCTTCTATTTTAGGATATTCATAATCAAATTAAGACACACTCAGCCCGCCCCATCTGGCTCAATTTGCTGAAAAACCAACATCAACAATCAAAGTTTTCAAGTAATTGTCAATATTTACCCAACTCAGGTGCTCAAAACCGATAAAAACAATCTCAACTTACCGCATTAGTCAACGCAAACATCCACTAGCCATATCCAAAGATTTTTACTGAAAATCTGACATCACAATGTATCACAGACGATTTACAAGTATCACAGGTCACGAACGCTAAATCGATGTATTTATTCAGCGTCTTCAAAGCGATGAAACAGCATCGAGAATTGCTTGAGCTTGTTCTTAGCCACCCAAGTGAACTGGGGACGCAGTTCCGGCTCGATCCATCGACTCTCTTTCACGTTGGCCTTCAGCAAGGTCAGATCCCAAAAGCGCACTTCGTGACCTGGGGAAACAATCAGTTGTCTTTTAGAAAAACGCCCTGACCTACTGGGTCCTGAGGATTCCTAAATGATAGGGAACAATAAAACTTCTCATAACATTTACCAACAGTTAAACGGCGCTAGAATCTAATAAACAAAATACGTTAAAAGCATCAATAACAAAAATCCGTCACAGTAACTAAACATTTCCTAGAGCCTAATTATGTTATCTTTGTCACTTCTGCATATTGCTTCGACTAGAAGAACTTTAACTAAAGCGTGCCCACCCTGCGCTTACCGCTCATCCGCCAAGGGGGCTAGTTAAGGAAAAAACTCAACAACTGTGCCCGCTAACATTGCACAACTACGCGCGTTTAGTTGGAAATTAAAGAGCGCTTTCGTGAAGATTGCGATCCTCAATACTCATATACATGCCTTCCTCCTCATAGGTCGAGTCATGCTTGGCAAGAACGCGCAGCAGAGGTCTCAGCTTCAGCCACCATTGATCCTTCGGAAGCCTATGCCTAAAAACCATTGTGTATTTATTAAACTCGATAAACTAGCGGTGAGGTAGGAAATCGGCGATTTCTACTTACCGGAGTAGGTGAGGCGAAGTGCATAGCGTTAAGCGACAAATCAAGCTAGAAAGGGTGATGCGAATGGGCGGTGTTTATCACATTCACATGGGTTTTGTCAAAATAACCACAACGGGCACGTTTAATGCTTTTACTACAACAATTTCCATAAACGATACAATTTCATATATGTGTAAGTCAATTTGCCATTCTTCCTTAAAACTCTTGTAGAATGGGCGCCTATAAAGGCCAAACAAACAATCCCAACTTAGTCGTTAAGTTGAATATAACTCAGTACAAATAAATAAATAATTTCCTACAATCAATCAACCGCAGGTTGAATCCAACCTGGAATTACCTGAAAACTATAGAAAATACTGACATAGTTCCTAGCAAAGGAAGCAATCTTTGACCGTTATCATCTACATGGAAATTAAAATAAACCTAGATGAGCATGGAATGAATCCAAAACGAAGCATGCGGAGTATTTCTAGTATATTCTCCTAAGAACCGAGCTTCTCGGATGCGAATCTACGAAAGCGCATAATCTAGATGGTGGCATCTACTAGTCGGTCCTCAATGGACATGTACATGCCCTCTTCTTCGTAGGTTGAGTCGTGTTTTGCCAAAATACGCAGAAGCGGCCTGAGCTTTAACCACCATTGCTCTTTGGGTATACGCTGACTGCAAGAACAAGCCCATAGTAGATTTTTAACCGGACTTTAGTCCATTTGCATATCAGAAAATTGAATTTGCTATATTGCTAACTTTCCAAACCGATCGCGTTTGTCACAAGAACAATCTCAACTTTAGATTTTAGTACGTAAACATTGGCGTTTTTCCGCTATCAACAAATTTTCAGTTGTCATCACAATCGCATTTCCTGTTAAAGAATCGCCCTGAGAGGAAAGGTTTCAAGTTAAAATGCTCTTAATAGGCTGCAAAAAAACTAAGCAATCAAGCAAACCCCCCAGTGTGAAATTAAAACACAGAATCCCCTTGAAAAGGAAAACTCACTCGAAATTGGTCTGGTCCTTCAGAGTGTGCAGACTAGTGCACTTGTACTGCCGCTTAACAATACCGAGCAAGCAGGCGGTGTTCGGGTCTGTGCAGTTGATTTTACCATCATGATCCGTGTTGTTCTTCAGCTGGCACACCATCCAGTCGACGGCTTTCGCCGCCATCTTCGTGCCCAGATTCCGGTCGAACGGCGAAGGCGAACCTCCTTGTTGCATGTGGCCTACGCGCAGCATTTAATGATTAATCAACTAGGCGAGTTGAACAGGCTGATGTTGCTCACCTAAGACGTTCATCCTGGCACTGAACAGGCCTTTGCCCTCCTCCGAATACAATCTGAATATAAACTCAGTATTGTAGTTGTCGGAGGCCTTTTCGTTCCGCAGAATCAGCCCGCGCTGCACTCCTTCAGACATCTTGGTAGCCATGTGGTAGACGTCCTGCTGCAGATCTTTGATGGTGAATTTCTCTTCGTAGATGTAGGCGGCGTCCGCTCCACCTGCCAGTCCGGCCACAGTAGCCAAGTAGCTTTGAGAAGAAAATAACTGGTTCGTTTCCAGACCTTGGCAAATGTTTAACGGGGCTCACCCGCAATATCCGCCCATGGTTTCAATCACAAACACCCTCCGTTTGGTGCCTTGAGCCGACTGTCGGATCCGATCGCAAATTTCCGTGATCTCATTAAGGGCCGTGTCGCAACCCAGGGAAAATTCCGTTCCGGGCACGTTGTTGGAAATGGTGCTGGGAATAACCATGATGGGGATGCGGAAGGCGTGATGCTCGTCGCGGTTTTCGCTCAGCTGCAAAGCCGCTTGAAAGCCCTGGAATTTTTGCAAGCGCCGCATTATCACCAACGTTTTCTGGTCGCGTACTTTACCTCAAAACCTCCAATAATCAGCAATGCCTGTATGCCAAACTCCTCCATTCTGGAGGCCACTAGCCCCATGCGATGTCCGGGAAGGGTGCGCTTCGTGCCCAAATAGGCCCCTCCGTGTCCCACCCAACCAGTCACGTCCGACCAGTCTTAGGAATGACGACAAGTGTTGAAATTCTGCCCAAAAACGGGACAAACCAACTCACTCATATGCTTGATGTTTCCGGCAATGAGCCCCTCCAGCCCGTCGTGGATGCCCAGCACTGTATCTCCCCTGTAGATGCAGTTTCGGACGAAAGAGCGGACGGCTGCGTTCATGCCGCAACAAGGCGCTCCAATGTGCATAACGGCCATGGTGTAGCCTTCCTAGAAAAGGGGCACAAACGGTACAGTTACAGACCCTTTGAGTGGTGGTAGAAGCCGGGTAAGATCAGAAAGTGCAGACCTGAGCGTTGAGGCAAGTGTTTTATGGCTGCAGTGCTCAGAAACTTGCACAAAACGAAAGCTAGGGATTTTTTTAACTTTACCCGAGTAACTTACGCTAAATACACTGGGTTTGGCTAAAATTCGCAAGTGCGCGTCTATGCCTACGTCTATTCTCTGGGCAACTAGAAACTAAATTGCCACCTACACACCAAAAAATGTGCGAGAAACAAGCGTAACAAGCAATAAAGAACTTGGCAAGCTATAGTTATGTGTGAAAGGGGTACTTTTGAAAGAATACTCACCGAGCCCCACAAAGTATCTCGCTAAAATCCACCGAAAATCAAGAAAAATCGGGTTAGTAATTAGAAGAAAACGTCTTGTTTGAGTGCAGCGGTTAACAGGAAAGTCCTGACTCACTTCGACCAATGCGCTAGATCGTTTGTTTTGAGGAAAATGCAAAATCAATAAGTAACAACCAGTTGCAAACACAGGCACATGCAACAAGTGCCAGTTTGCTGTGTAAATCGAATCATTGCAATTAATGAAACTGTAATACCTTCTGAAGTCCATGCTTCTGATCCTTAAGGGAGCGCAGAACAAGAAATTATGGATTAGTTACTCAAATTTGGATGGATCATTTACGCACTAAATACTTAGTAACATAGTACAAGTACAAGTACCGAAATTAGATTTTGAATTAGAATTGATTTAGATTGAATGAGAAAAAACTGCAATTTATACAAACCTCACTCTAAAATGAGTTAGTTTCATTTAACAAAACTCACTTAGTGAGTGAAAAAAACACATAGTTGGAACACCCTTGGTGTAGTAAATTCCACTTACTTTGCCTTGCCCCTGTTCGTCAAATGCGGTCTTTGGTGGCTTCAACCGCGTTAACAGCTTATAGGTGGACAAGTTCCTCATGAAAGACTTGCCTCGCAATTGGACAGCTTTGTCCCACTGCTTATCTACCATGGCCTGAGGATGAATTCAAGGCAACCAATAGTAAGTCCAAAAGCCTCCAAAAATACCTGGGCGACCGCCTTTGTTTGCTTCACGCATTCCATCAACGGCAGTCTTACTGCTTGATTTCCATCCAGGGAAATAACGCACGGGTCTGTGTTTTCATCGGCCTCCATCAGCGCCATCACTGCCTCGGCTCCCATCCTTGAACCCTGTTGGGCAACCCAAATTAGAAACGATACTAGCAGCAACTAGTCTTCTCTTACCAAAACCCGATCAAAAGCAGACGGGTTTCCTCCTCTTTGCACATGTCCCAGGACAGTAATGCGAGTGTCCTGATGCAAATTATCAACCACCACCTTCCTGATGTCTTCGGCTGTGATTGGTTGGCCGTTACGATCAATCGCGCCCTCCGCTACAATGATGATGTTCAACCGTTGCCCGACGTTTCTTTCCTGAAACCACAGCGGCCAGTTTAGATTAAACAATCCCCTAAACAGAGTAGTGTGCCGTTAATAGTTACGCGATCCTTAGTATCAGTAATCAGTAATTAATTCTTCGATAGTGGGATTGACACATATAAATCTAATATCACAACATATTAATCGCAATATTAGTGATTGAGTACCTGCATCAGTTTTCTACAAAGCTTATCGGTCCAATCTAGTGGAGCGGGGTCTTCGGGGATAAAAACGTAGTCGGCTTCGCTGGTTAAAGCAGCGACCAGCGCTAAGTAGCTGGAATGGTTAAGAGTGTTCACAAAAACATACAACACCGTATTAATAAAATGGGGGGAAATTTCAAAATAGATTAATAATCAACCAGGCAGCGTTGTTCACTCGGACAAAACTGGTTAGTCGGAGCTCAATACCCAAAAAAAATTAACCTGTTCGAGCTTGTCGCACAGTTTTTTCTGCCAGTCGTCTGGAGGCGGCGATTCGGGAACAAACACGTAGTCCGCTTCGGACGTTAAGGCTGCCACTATGGCTAAGTACCTAAAGAAGTGCACTATATTTGGCCCAAATTCCTAACAGGAAAAATTAAGGAGACAAGTGGGAAAACTCACCCGCAATGCCTGCCCATCACTTCCATAATAAAGGTGCGTTGATGAGAATAAGCAGTCGATACGATGGCGTCTGTCGCCTCAATGATTCTGTGAAAACAATCAGTTTTATGCAATAGCCCAATGATGAACATGTTCTTACCTATGCAAAGCACTGTCAGTTCCAATGGTCATATCGGTACCACAGAAGTCGTTATCAATGGAACCAACCAGACCGGCAATAAACAGCGATTTGTACTTTTCGCGCTGTTCCGCAGTGATTTTGCCTTCTTTCAGCAATTCGTCCAGCAGCACCGACCATTCCTGCTTAAACAGATCGGCGCCAGTCAGAGAACCGTCGCCTCCAATCACCACCAAGTTGGTGATGCCCTTTTCCACTAGATTAAAGGCGGCCTTTTTGCGCCCTTCATGTTCCCTGAAAAGAACCAAATTAGGCAATTAATCAAAATCTATTATGTACTCTAATCGCATTAATTGCCATTAAAGTCGATTAGCGGATTAAGGAGATTTGATCAATCACCTAAGACTTACTTAAAGTCCATGCACCGGGCTGATCCAATAATGGTGCCGCCTTTGTGGATAATGGAGCTCACTGAAGACCAGTTGGCTTCAATGATGTATTCGCCTCCATCTATCATACCTGAAAGCCAGTTCAACTGAGTATCTTCGAATGTGAAGTGAAGACTTGCCTACCTTGATAGCCCTCTCTAATGAAGTATACCTTGCACCCGAAGTAAATGCCCATCCGGACCACAGCCCTTACAGCAGCGTTCATGCCCTGGAATCAAAGAGATTAGGACAAACTAACCCGCTTTTTGAGGCCCTTACCTGTGAGTCGCCTCCACTGGTGAACACTGCTATGCCCTTGCCCTTATGGGCCCCCCTTTCTATGAATTTTGCCCCTGCGGATTCTGTCATGTTGCCTGAAAGTTTACGAGAATTTTGAGTGACCCACTGACGGATATTTTCAAAAACTCCAAAAGTAAGAGTTTTTTGAAAAATGTCACACTTCAGGTAAGCAGGCAGTCACTTACCTGCACACGCCTATGTGAACCCACTTTATCAAAAATAACAGACACTGTGAGGTTTGTTTTGGAGTTGGAAAAATTCAAAATAATCACTCTAGACCTGGACAGTGCAATCTCAAGGTGACCCCTGCTCCCACACTCAATGGGTTTTATTGGTTAGAATCTGGGGGCATTCCAGCTGATCAAGTCACTTTGTATCCGATGGCGAGCGCCCGGTACGGGACGTCACAGCTTGCTTCAACTGCCGATGTGTTAAAACGAGAAAGGCGTAAGCAGCCAGTCGCGCATTGATCGGAACTGCACTAAATGGTGAAACCGTCTGGGGCTAGAAACGAACTACGTGACCAGTTCCATGTAGTAGAAGGGAAAGAGAGGATGAATGTGCCTTGTCGTTTGCTAATTACGATTTACCACACAATGTTTTGCCACATTGGAAAAAATTGCCAATTTATCTCAAATGTAGCTTGGTTTTGCAACGCAAAGTTACGCGACTGAACTAGATGTTTACTCAATGAGTCCGAGTTGGTTAACAACAGTTTTGAGATTTTTGTCCTCAGTTTAGGAAATAAATACTTCTACTATTTCTTGTCTCCGGTTTGTGTTGTCCGAAAAGAGTCTTCTGAAAGCATAGAAATGCAGTAATTAGCTTTCTTTATTAAAATTATTGCAATTTACCATTTTGCGATAAAACATTCGCCAAAATGTCAATGATATATGCCAGACGAGTCAAGAAGAGGTTGTAGCCCTGTTTATGCCTCTCCTAGTTGATTTACATTGGAAAATCAAAAGTGTGACGTAGTGTCTTCTTTATGAAACACCCTGTATAATGCAGACATAATATTTATCGACAAAATGAATATTTTTTCTTTTCCCAGTGGCGCAGCTGTTGGACTTGATGAAGATTATTTTAAATTCTACACAATTGGGCGAATGGCAATTTCAAAGCCCATTTTGAGAGGCGTTTGATTTATATGGGAACCATGTATCGGAACAGTGTCTCTGGTCTTTAGTCAAAAGCACTAAAGTCAGATAAAGTGGGAACTTTTTAATGAAACGGAAATTCGCTTGAAAACTTTGCATTCAAATCGCCATTTTTTACAATACTTTAGTAGTTAGAAAAACACACGCAGTCAGTTCTAAGATCTACCACAAAAGCACATTGAATATTTAAATTTTTAATCCTACTTAACTCTCAGAATCTCGATCGTATTAAACGAACCAGTTGAGCTATAAAGCTCCAGTTTTGCCTGCGAGATAGAGAGTTAAATTGCGTACTTTTTTGTACCCAAACATCTTTTTAGAAACGTAACTATTTTTCAAGCAAAATGAGAAAATTTTATGTTTATACGAGTTTTCAGAACCGCTCTTATTCGGTGGCTGGCAAGAGAACGGGCCACACTATAAAGTTCTAGTTTTTATTGCCAAGTAGAGCGATAAATTGCGTACTTTTTTGTATTAAACACCATTTTAAAAATGTTACTAGTTTTCACCTCAAATGCAAAAATTCAAGAGTAATGCGAGTCTTTAGAACCGAAAAAAAGTATTGACAATCACTTTAACAGGAACGGATTGGATGGCGGAAGCAATAGGTAGTAAACAAACAGTTTGTCTCATCTTGTTTACTTGCAGTGATTGAAGATACACATATATTGGAAAAGTCCATTTCTTGCAAGAAATTCAAAAAATATTGTTAAACTACTTACAATAGTATATATAATATACTCAAGCGTAAATATGCGTCAAACTCTATATAAAATGTAGCCATTAATAATAAACGTAACTCTAAGCACAAAAAGGGGCTCAATCTCAAAAGGATTTACAAAACCGCCTTATATAATTTGATTCGCACTTCAGTATTTAGAGTTGAACAATTTCGAAAACTTTAAAATACTTTTCACAAAAACCACGCGTCAGACTAACGGAACAAGTTTGTAAAACACAAATTAAAAAGCAACGAAAAATAGCATACAATATGCTATAGTACCTAAAATGAGAGACAGTTCATGAAATACTACATAAATCGCCCCAAATGTAGAAAAACCACTGGCCTTGTTAGGATAAAAGTGTCGTCGTGTTCATATTCAATCGTCGCTGGTCAAAACCCATATTACATCATGGAGATATGTGACAACTTGGATTTTAAAGTTTTCCAACACCTCACGCGGCATATACAATAAAAGATCGTTGCACAGATGCCTCATCATCTGCATAATCCATGCTATGTTTACGCTGAAAAGGACAATGCGTGTTAGTGAATCAAGAACACTATATTATGCGTACAGTCAATGAGTTCCCGTCAAAATTCAAATAGAATTTCATTGTCTAATTAATCACTGTTCAATTTAAAACAATTGTTTCGATTGGATAAACCTGCAGATTCAATGGATGAAACTGTTATTACATTGCGCAAATTTTCAGTTCTTGAAAGGATTGTCTATGGTCTATGTAATACAACATTTTAGCAGAAAATCTAACAGTAAGAGAAACTTATAGCGCGTTGCGCTTGCCGAGTGGGCATTTAAGAACGACTTTTGAACAAGGAAGACTCACAAACTTCAAATTTGGAGCTTGTAAGCATCGAAAATGATGTTTAAAAAACATTGATGCAAAAAAGATCACTTCTGATTTTGTACTAAAGAATCCCAAAGATGCACCGGCGCCCCACGTATTCCACTCTTGGGAGGGAGTCGGGGAATGACTTTCAGACTTTTTTGGACGAACCTCCCCATTTACACGCATCACAAAATCGTATAGAACGCAAATTTACCTGGAAATCAGGCCGCACTATCAGCGCTATCGCACTTCTTCTAATTTATTCTCCAAATGCTCCCGATACTGGCACATACCCACTGTGTTTTGACGCGCTTAATCAAGTTTCCGAAAAAAAAAACAGAAATACACAGACGATAAGATGAATTATTTACAATTCGAATTCATGAGGCGATTTAAAACCATGAACTTTTGAGCCGACTATCAGTTGAACGAAGGTAATTTTCGAAAATGGGCCCCATCATCATAGTCGACCTCTTAATGCTCGTGGCCTGCTGCCAAGGCGTTAAAATCATTTGGGACAACGATATCGAAGTGGATCTGAATGAAATTGACGATGACTCGGGACGGTCTGGTGAACGCAGGGTTCCCAATTGGTTCTTCATATTCCCTGGTAAGTCTTGCAGGTTGTTTTGAGTGCAGCGGGGTGGAACCATTTCTCCTCGCTTAGGCACCAAATGGTGTGGAGCAGGAAACATAGCGGAAAACGATGCGGATTTGGGAACGGAGCGGGATACAGACAAGTGCTGTCGCACACACGATATGTGTCCGGATATCATTGAAGGACACGCCACCAAGTACGGCCTAGAGAATCCTTCGTTTTACACACGGTAAGAGCCGAGTCAAGGCTGAGGCAAAAACCTTAAAACCATCGATTTTCAGCCTGATTTGCGATTGCGATGAGGATTTCTACAGGTGCCTCAAGTCGGTGAACACCAAAACCTCCACCCAAGTCGGGCACATTTACTTCACAGGCCTCGGAACGCAGTGCTACAAGCAAGAGTATCCGATTGCCGGTTGCAACAAGTACACCACATTTCCGTAAGTTTGCCTCTCCGCTTCGATTTTGATCTTCTGGTCCGAGTTTTGCCTGTTTTTAGGCGAAGAAAATGTTTGGAGTACATATACAATAAGGGGATGCCCAAGAAGTACCAATGGTTCGATATACGGAACTTCTAGAAGCAGACTCAAGATTGACTTGTACAATAATAAATACAAATGTTTATGAAATAAGGATTTTCCTTAATCAGCTTGCGTTTATGAGAAAAGTATAAAGGTGCACGAAAATTCCACGATAGTTTAAAAGACCGAAAAGCTTAGCCATTTTATGGTGTGCGTCTTTTCCAGTCTGTAATGTATATACCTAGATTATATGTAATATAAATAAAACGTGTATATAGATTCGATTGAAAAGAACAGGGCTGGATATTACCACATTGCGCGATTAATCCAGCCTCGGAACTGAACGAAACTTGTGGCATTCGGTCACAGTTTCTCGTTTACGCTGGGGAAATTGCTTGGGACTTTGATGTTGTGCTGTTTGATGATGTGACTGGGGAAATTGCTGTGAACTTGCCGGGAAAGTCCTTGATGAACTCGTGAACTTGATGAAAAATGCCTCGCGAGGCCCACGATATCGAATGCGCATTCGGGAATATTGCCTGACTGTCTCAGAATGGGCTGAAGCAAAAGATGGTACGACAAGAACAACCCGCAGAAAAACTTTCTCAATTTCTGCATGTAATTATGAGAAAAAACTTTATTCAAATCGAATCTAATTCACAGGGTTTGTGAGGCTTAAAAACATCGATTGTTTAAATCCGCGTTCGAAAATCTAGTCTGGTTGCCCCAGAACTAGCTTTAGAAGACGGCGGTGGGTAAAGCAAACAGTACAGAAAAACTTCTCCAGTATCGCAATTAATAATTAAAAACTCTTTCATACAATTGAAAGAAATTGACAATTTTTATAAGAGAAGATGAATATAATCGATTTCTGAAATTTTCATTCAAAAATTTGGTCTGGTTCTGTCACAATGACCTATAGAAGAAGATGGCACAAAACGAAAAAACTACAGGAAAAAATCTTCAAATGCCACAATGAATCTTAAAAAAGTCCTTTTCCCAAATTCACAACATTTGTAAAAGAAGGCCTACTATATCAATTCCTAGAACCCGCATTTGGAAATCCGGTCTGGTTCTTTTCGAATAAGATGATGCAAAAATAGAAATGAGAATAATAAATTTCGTTTAAATTTCTACATTAATATTTATATAAATATAATAACATTTACAGTGCTAACAACTGGAATCAGCATACTTTGTGCCTTATAGAATATTAAGTATATGGGCAATTTATCTAAACATTCTTATCTGGTGAACACCTTAGAAACAAACCCGTATTGCGCTTAAAAAAGTTTACGATTACTTTTATTAACTTCCACGTTGTACGTGCCTTATTCTCGCATAACTTTCCAGAACAACAGATGAAAAACATGTGGTCTTTCTTACTATGCGTCTTAATTGTTGCCTGTTCAAGGGCGAATGCGGAAAAAGTGCTTTGGCAAAATCAAGTGGAGCTAGATATGGATGAGTTGACGGCCCACCAATCTGATTTAGATGGCCTGG